AAAAAAAAGGAAACTGAAAAATTTGTGATTAATGAAGCTATTCGTTTCAGAAAGGATACTGCTGGCTGCATTGGCATACCCTTAGTTATCGCGCACATTTCGCCTTGACGCGCTTCAAAAGTGGCCACGTCTATTCATTCATTAAAAAGTTGGCCTTGTTGGTAGATCTATTTAAGCATGAAATTGCTTTTGAAGTGCTCTCAAGCGGTTGTTTGCCAGAACTTCTGGAATTGAATGCGGAGGGCACCACTTTTGCGAAGTAATAATTTTCTTGTTTGAATTCTGATTTTAACTTTCGCCTATCTTCCGCTGCCTCGAAACCTTTGCTTTCTCTCTTCCGTCCTATTTATTCAAGCGTACACAGTTTACGTCACGTTGTCATTGACTCAGTTTCAGTTACACTTTTTCTGTTCAACTTCCTTATGCGCAGTGCAAAATTTCGTGGCTTTTTCATAGTCTACGCTGTGCAGTCGCTTCTTTCAGCTTTAAAAGCGGTACACATTTTGAAACGTTGCAGCATTTCAATTTAGAATTGCATTAGCATTCATGCGTGAAGATACAGTGTGAGGTCAAAAGAGAGTGCGCGGATATGGCAACGAAATCCGCAACTCCAGCCACAGCTGATGAGCAGCCGCTACAAAATCCAGCTTCTGAAAGCAAATGTAGCGAGCAGTTTGGCGGCTCCATATCAGCCCCGGAGTGTAAAAAGCATAGCTTGCAAGCTCCCGTTCCCATTCAGCAATCCGCGGATACCTCTCTTGACGGCTACGAAACCATTCCTCGACGACGTTCAGCTGGTGCTGCAGACCCAGTGCTCGAATCTTCTAAAGCACTTAGGAAAATTTCCGAAGCGCTCGGTACGTCTTTTATCTTCACATACACATTTCAGCAAGTTGAACAACGATACGCAACGTCTGCCATCTAATTCCTGTACGCAGCGCTGCAAAGTGTCACATCAGCATGGAGCTATTTTTGTGATAATTAGTCAAACACAATGTTAAACTTAGACAATACGGATGAAAGAGAAAATTTAGTAAGATAAATCCGGTCGTTCATTTCGTTACATTTCTCACGATTTTTTAAAAAAACACGTTTTGAATAAACACCACGGTGGCGTGAATTAGTGCTTCCAGAACTATTTAGACTGGTAAGCTTACAGTTTATCTTTTGCACAATATGTAATAAATCCTGATCCGAAAATTCATTACTGCAGGAAGCTGATGAGGGCTCCCATAGTGTGATTGCACAGAAACATAAAAATAGTCTTTCTTTCTAGCCATTTTGGCTTTTTGACCTTTGTAACGGGTGATAGCCAGTAACAATGACTGCGATGCTATACGAAGTGCTGTAAATTTAGGGATGATGCGAGGTTAAATCCTTGACGCTCCTTGCTTCATTTGAGAGGACATCAAATTTGATTTTGCGCTTCTAGGTTAGTGCACCTTTTAGTAGTGGACAGTGCACCAGAATTTTAGCATCCTAGCTTTCGTGGTTCTGGAGGTAAATCATCACGACAGACAGCTAATCAAATGCATAAAGATACGTATAGGTACGATCTATTTGCTTGGGTGTTGAACCAAGTTCAGGACAAAGCAGCTGAATGCCCTCGTAGGAATTCTCAGAATTTCAAACTTGCACCCATTTTGGTTCTTGCATTATGTAATCTGTCTAGTTTGGATCTGGATTCAAAGATTCAGAGCATGGAGCGGCTTGAGAGCTGACCCCAGTTTCAGGGACTGGTTTGCGGCCGAGAAGCTTGTTTGCAAATTATCGGCTTTTGAAAGTCTAGAAT